TGAAAAATGAAAACATTAGGCCTTAGTTTTTCTATTATAGCCTTTCGCTAATGGGGCCCCCAATTTTTGTCTTTTTGCAGATCAAAATCATAGAGGATACCTCTCCACGAGCTCATAGGCCCACCGTAGTAAATCAGCATCTTTTTTAAATTATCCGAGTCGGTGTCGTCAATGAAGTACTAAATTATGAGTTTGAATATTTCAAAAGTAAAATTCTTATTTTATAAATGAAGTTTGTGTATTGTGAGGTTAATATATAATTATATCAATAATGTGAATTGTTTATCTCATATAATAAAAATTGAAATATATATATATATATATATATACATATAAAAGATGAACAATTTAGATTATCAAAATAAATTTGATAATTGTTTAATCACAAGGGAAGTTGAGATTTTTAATTTTGATAAATCCAAACTCCTCTATTTTTAGGTGCAATGCGCTTGAGTTTATTTTGAAACATAGTGACAGAAATTTAAAAACATATACACAAGACAAGTATTCAACGGAAAAAAAAAGAAAAAAAGAAAAAAAAGTGTGAAGTATGATAATTAAGCACACTTGTGAGTGAGCCCAGGGTGTTTTGACAACTTGGGGATGAAGGCAATGGATTAATAACAACTTGAAGTAAAATAGAAAGCAATCACTATTTAGTCCTGTTGACTTTTACTAGTATTGAGGTCTCGTTTGGCAAGTGTCTATTTTAGTTAAAAAAATCAAAAAGTTATTAAAAAAATTAAAAAGTCAACAACCCATACTAAAAAGTCAAAAATTCTATTTTCTCTCTACTTTTTACACATCTTTTTGTTAAAAGATAAAAAGTCATCCCAAATATATTAATTTTTTTTACATTATATTTTAGCTAAAAAATCAAATAATTATTAAAAAAGTCTATTTCCAGACGAGCCCTGACTCCTAATGTTTGGGTTAGCCATGGTTTGTGACCTAAAAATAAAGAAACCCTTTTATGAGTAAAAAAGAAAACTAACAAGCTATGAATGGACCACGAACCACGGATGGATGGCCCATTGGACCCGCCGACAGCGAATAGTCGAAAGCACAGATCAGAGACACTTTGATAGTCTCATCTCATGGACCTCATGGGTGAGAAGGTTAATTCAATTCCAATTCAATTAAGCTGTGTATAGTAAGAGAGTGTACTATGCATGCATGCATGCTTTGCTGCTGCTGCGTCTTGTTTGGCGGCATACATACGGAACACTGAAGAAGTGCAGATGAAATTATATGCTATCTATGGCTATCAAAGAGTTTCTCTAGTACCATATTAATTTTTCTACTTTTTAACCGCACACCAACATTGAGACGCGGCAGCCCACCCAACTTAATTGGGATATATGATTTAAGGGTCATGCTAGAGGCTATTAATTTGGTAATTCTAAATCCACTATTAATAAGGTGAAAAAACATAAAAAAAAAAAAAAACACAACACATGCTGTGGCAGTGAGTCTCACCCATTTTTCATGATTTAATTTAGTTTGATTTAAATTTTTTGTGTTAAATATAGAATAAATATAAAATAGTACTCCATTCTGATGTCTAATACTAATTAACTAATAAGAGTGTGTGGGTACATTTCATATCGTTACGTGAGAATATTACATTTTATCTTATAAGTTTTTAATTAATACAAGGCATTATTTTTTAAGAAAAGAAAAAATACGTCTAAAACGGATAATATTGTGACCCCATTCTACCAAAAAATATTGTATATAAATAAAAATATATTTTATTAATATAATTCGGGTGGGGCAAGTCGACTGAGCAGGATAAGCAAATCTTATCCGGATCCCATTTTTACTAGGATGAGGAAAATTAGGAAGGTGGTGAGAACAAGTTAATTTAGAAATTTTAAATATTTTATTAATGTTTTTATTAAATAATTTTTATAAGTATAGAATTTACATAAAAATAAAATATTTAATAAAAATATTAATAAAATATTTAAAATTCTTAACATTTTTTATTCATCATTATTGACATTGGTAGCGCTGAACTCCTTTACAAGTGTACAACCTATGAATTAAAAGAGTGTACAACCAAAGTTTGATATTTTTCTCTAACCAGTAAAAGACGATGAACTCTGTTTTTTGGGCAATGTACAAACAGTAATGATAAAGATTCTTACAAAATATAATTTCACAATTCTTAAAATAATTTGAACCATTTTCGTCATTGTAAGAGATAGAAAAAAAAATTTAAATACATTAATAATCAATACATCAATGAGGGTCGTGGAGATCCTCCTTCATGAGGGTCTCAAACATTTTCCATGTACAAATTAACTTTAAATACACTGTAAAATGACAAAATCGAGTCCTGTAATAAAAAAAAGGAAGCTTTTTTGATAAATTCATTTTCTAAGAGCTTTATTCCATCCAACTCATATTCTTTTTGACTATTCCATTAGGTCCAATTTGAGATAAGAAGACCAAAATACCCTTTTCATCTACTTATGTTCCATTTAGTTCACATTATTTTCTTATATTTCAATAAGTCCTATGGGTGACATAATTACCAAAATACCCTTAATGTGAATGTTCACACCGTCAACGTAAATGTTCATATCGTCAATGTGTAGGGGCCCGGCCCATGTCGATCCTCGTGGGTGCCCGGAAAAATTCGAGTCGGGCCGGGCCGGCCCACAGGCCAAAAAAATAGGCCCGGCTCGGCCTGTTGATAATATGAATATTCGCATTGACAAGTTAACATTCACATTGATAGGAGTGTAAAATTGGCCTGCGGCCCGAAACCAGCCCGCCGCCCAGGGCGGGCCTAGACCGGCACGTTCACAATGTGAATATTCACATTGACATATTAACATTAACAATAACATTGACAAGAGTGTAAAATTGGCCCATGACCCGTGGGCAGCTTTTTTAAATTAAGCAAATACAAAAACACAAAAATTCAATAATATTGTAATAAATGTGAATAACGGTAATAAATGTGGGTGTATAGACGAGAAAGAAAGATGATGGTGGAAATAAAAATGAAAATTTTTATTCATATATAAAAATTTATACAAAAAATATCACAAAAATGTTATAATAATGATATTGTTGTAAATATAAATCATGTATATTATTACTCAATAAGAACATATTTAGGTAAAATTTAATGATGAAAGTTGTAAACTGATAATAAAAAGAAAAAATAGTAAAAAAATAACAAAATAATCATTTAAAAAATTTTAAGATATGACATTAACAATCTATAAAATAATTTATAATGAGATTATAAATTTTAAAAAAATATAATTTTTCAAACGTGAAAAGAATCATATTAAACACAAGCAGTAATAATAAGGACCCTCACAAAATATGACTTCTAAAATAATCTAAACTATTCATATCACTATTAAATGAGATTTTTAAAAAAAATTTAAATACATTAATAATCAATACATCAATGAGAGTCGTGGAGATCCTCCTTCGTGAGAGTCTCAAACATTTTCCATGTACAAATTAACTTTAAATACACTGTAAAATGACAAAATCGAGTCTTGTAATAAAAAAAAGGGGGTACTTTTGTTATTTAATTTTTTATATACTTATGAGGGTTAGAAAAAGCTACAAAGCGCAAAAAGTAATTTACAAATTTGTCAAAAATAAAATATATAATGTAAATTTAAATTTAATTAAATATGAACCACATCTAAAATGAATAAATATTATTTTTTGGGGATAAATTTAGCATTTTTTGAAATAACAATATACAAGTTGTTCCAAGTTTTCCTTGTAGTTGATTTCTAAAGCTTATTTTAATTCAACTTGTTTTTTGTCTTGAGAAAAAAAAAATTAATTAATTTTTTTGGTTACTTTTTAGGTTCATACTCACCACACAATCTAAAAAAAAAAAAAAACTGAAACCGAAAATAAGTTATTAATTTTTATTTTGAAAAAATCGTATTTTCAAAAAAAATTGAAGTTTTCTAATATGAACAAATTTGAAAAGTAAAAATTTTGACAGTAAAAAACAAAAATAAAAGGATAATTTACATTTATTTCTCTTATATTGTGTTTGATTAAGAGATTTGAGAAGTGATTTAAAAAGAAAAAGATAAAAGATAGATGAAATATAAATAAAATATATCTTTCACCTAATTTTACATACTTTTTTCTTTTCCATTTTCAAATCTCTCAACTAAACCCAGCGTTAAAGTTTGATGAAAATAAAATTAGCCTACACCTCTAAAATAATTACACCGATATCTATTTTAATAAGATTAAACTAAGGCCTTACTTGGAAAGTGGCTTATAAATTGATTTTTTGACTTATTACGAAAGAACATGTTAAAAGTTGAAAGTGATATAATCCAAATAAGTCAATGTGCTTGCTTTTTTTTTCTTCTCTTGTTAAGAGAGGCCAAAAAACTAAGAAAAATGTCATAAATTCCAAATAATATATCAAATTTTTTATCAAATCTCTCACATAGTGTGAGACCCTCATAAACTCACATGTGTATGGATTCCATACCCATGTAAAATATTTGATAAAAAAATTAATAGATTATTTAGAATCTCTAGTATTACTCCTAAAACTAATGTAAATAATTAGTACACAATAAAAAAAATACATATTTTAATAGAAATTAAAAGGATAAAAAAGGTAAATTAATTAAGCGGATATAAGCTGGAGTAATATCTTTATCCATATGTCGCTGACATTTCTTCTATGCCCATCTCTAAAGATTTTTTTTGATTTCTTTTAGATTTTTTTAGATTTTTTTTTTTTCACTAAAAGACAAATTGGTTACAATATCAAAAAAATAAATCCAAACAAAATATCATATCAAACTCCATAATCATTTTATTTTTTCTCTCACAGACATCATATTCAACTACAAAAAAATTCAACTATCTTTCTAAATACAAAAAAAAAATTCCAATAATATACTACAACAAAAAAAAACCTAAAAAAAAAAAAAAAAACCAAACACCCACATTTGTTTTATAATGTTTTTTTTTTTTTTTAACTCACTGATCATATATTGATAGGGCTTCAGAGATGTGGGAAGAGTTGTAGACTGAGGTGGACTAATTATCTGAGACCTGATATTAAGAGAGGGAAGTTCAGTTTACAGGAAGAACAAACCATCATTCAACTCCATGCTCTCTTAGGCAACAGGTGATATATGAAATTCAACAATTATTTGAATGGTATCTTCAATTTTGACTTTATTTTTTTGTTCTTTGATATATGAACATGTTGTTGATTAGTGGGTGAAGAGAGCTAAAGGTGAAGTCCAAGTCTTTTGACATTGTTCAGTTTGCTGTCTAAATTCAGCCATAGTTTCCTTCTTCCCTTTTTTTTTTGGTTTTTTTGAACAAGATTTGGTCATGATCCTGAGTTTCAAAATGGATATTCGATCAATTACTCTCACTAACTGTTGTCCTCTGTTTCTTTGTTGTAGCTCCACAAATTACACCTTTTGACCAAAGTTTTGAAATAGGGTATCTACCTTTCTGCATAACCTGTTGAACAACCTGACGTTCAATTATGTCTATAATTAAATTTATTCTCCATATTCATGAAAGCCCATTTATAACATGGGTTTCTTATAATAATGCAAAGTATTGTAGTAATTTTATGTTTCTTCAATATAAAGTAGAAATTTGTATTTGTCTTAGACTCATTTACCAAGCAAGAGGTCAGTTCAATTTCACACTAGGAACTGGAGATTACTGTCAAGCTATGTGTTCCAAACCATGATCCGGGATTAAAAAATGTTTATGAAATATATTAGTTAAACATTTTCTTCAATTCACCCGTTTGTTTTTCTCTCCATAAATCCGAATCCTGTATTCAAATATTAAAATACAAAATCAGCTCAAAATTTAAGAAAAATTTAAAGTATATATGAGACGATAGAATATATATACTAAAAAACAAAATTAGCTCAGGACACTTTTGAAATAAAAAAATATATATATACATAAAAAATTATCCCATCCTTTTTATGTTGATCTTGTGCATTATTGTATTTAGAAAACGAGTCCCCTGTTTTTTATATTGAAAATTGCATGTATCAGATAGACAGTTCCTAGGGTTTTGTTGTGTTGTTGAAGTTGAATTCTGTCCTTACATGCCCAATTGGTTGTCATGTTCTCAGGTGGTCGGCCATAGCAACTCACTTGCCCAAAAGAACAGACAACGAGATCAAGAACTACTGGAACACTCACCTAAAAAAGAGGTTAGCCAAAATGGGTATTGACCCGGTGACCCACAAGCCCAAGAACGATGCCCTCTTGTCCAGTGACGGTCAGTCCAAGAACGCCGCCAATCTTAGCCACATGGCCCAGTGGGAGAGCGCCCGGCTCGAAGCCGAAGCTAGGCTTGTCAGACAATCAAAGCTCCTCTCCAACTCACTCCAACACCACCAGCTCGGATCGCCGGCGCCGGAATTCTCACCTGCCTCAACTCCGGTGATCAAGTCGGCTGCGGAGCCAACTACGCCACCGCGGTGTCTTGACACACTAAAAGCTTGGAATAGTGTGTGGACTAAGCCTGCTGACGGTGGACTCGGTGGTGACTCGGAGTCGCCGACGTCGACGCTTAGCTTCTCCGAAAATGCTCCGCCGATCTCCGGCGGTGGAATCGGAGAGAGTTCGGCTGCGGCGTTTATTGAGATTGTAGGGAATTCAGGTGGAATGCTGAAAGAAGAAGGTGATGAGGATTGGAAAGGGGTTGAGAATTCGACCCATTTGCCGGAATTGATCAAAGATGGGATCGAGAATTCGATTTCGTTCATGGAAGGTTCGTGGAGTCCGGAGTCGGTGAGGAATGGTAATAATGAGAATATTCACAGTGGGAATTTCATGAAGAGATTCACTGACTTGTTGCTAAATAACTCCGGCGACCACGGGAGTTTCTTCGAGGGAGGCGGAGAGTCGGACAGTGGCGGCGGTGGAAGTGGGAGTGGGAGTGATTATTATGAAGATAACAAGAATTACTGGAACAGTATTCTTAATTTGGTGAATTCTTCACCCCCAAATTCACCTATGTTCTAAGCATGTCAGACACATATATATATATAGTCTGAAAGTGAGTTGGTCCATGTTCATCAACCTATCTCACACAGACTGAAAAGCTTCCCTTGTTATTAAAACCATTGTAGACTCTCTTTCTCTTTCTCTCTTATATGTGCATTATCAATAGCTCTCAGTGTCAACTCGTCTGGTCAGTTGCACTATTTCATTCTTCTTTGTATCCAGCAAACCCAAATCGCTGGAATAACTGTGTTAAAGTTCTACGTATATGTAACTCTTAAATTTAAAAAAAAAAATTAAAAAATTAAAAAAAGGTTTCTAATAACGAATGATGTTTCATGAAAGAGTAATGTTAGGTATTATAAAAGAAATATCATGAAATATTTCATCCTTTAATTATTGTATAGTATTTTATTGTGTGTGTAATTCAAAAATAAAAAAAAAAATTATAAATTTTTTTATGATATTTCTTCCATCATACTTGGTATTACTCTTCATGAAAACTGTGGCCAGAAGATGGGAAAATTTTATATAGCATTACTCTTTTAATTTATGGCAATGCTGCCTATGCAGTGTTATGGATCGAATTTGTCACGGGTATGACTCATTACATCAAATTTAATTACAAAGTAACAATAATGTTAGAAATCATGAAAAATATATCGTGAAATTCATCATGAAGATTTTTCAACCCTTGATTAGTGTGTGGTGTTTTATTGTAACGATAACCCAAAGGTGGAGAATCTTTCATAATCATCTTCATGATATTTTTTTTATGACTCCTAACATTATTTTTGTACAATTTAACGACAGAAGCACTACAAGTAATTGCACTTTTGGCGACTAAATTTTTAGTCGCCCAAAGTTAGATTTTAGTTGCTAAAACGTTTTGGTCGCGGGAAGATTGTCAGGGAAGGTATTGGTGACCAAAAAACATTTAGTCGCCAAAACTCCTAAATTGGCGATTGAACAATAAGTCACCAAAAGTAAAGGTATTGGCGACAAAAAAAACTTTAGTCGTTGATAAGCTAAATTGGCGACTAATCTTTTAGTTAGCAATAGCTTTCAAAAAAAATTAATATCGTATTTTCAGCGACTAAAACATTTAGTCGCCAAAACTGAAATTATTTAGAACGACTAATTTATTTAGTAGCCAATTTTTTTTTTTGTTCATCTTATTTTTTTTAGCTACTAAATGTTTTAGTCGCCTAAAGTTTAATTTTTTTTTAGCTACTATAGATTTGGTCGCCTAAAGTCTATTTTTTTATTTGGCTACTAAAATTTTAGTCGCCAAAAGTTTTTTATTTTATTTTATTTTTTTAAGCTACTAACTATTTAGTTGCTAAAAATATTTACCTCCTTTATGGCTACCAATTATTTAATGGCCAAAACATGATATTATTTATGTATTCCGTGCAACCTATGCCATGTATATAAATAAAACAATACATATATTATCAATCATTTCGCAATTTGCATCCATTTCACTTCTAACCATCCAAAAAGGAATAACTTTAATGTCAAATTTCATACAAATTAAGTATATTCCAATCTAAAATAATAATTGCATACAAAACAGAGAATCATACAAAAATCATTATGTTTGTATAAACTCTAAGAATGATAGTGACCTTTTGAAAGTTTAATGGAGGTTGACAAGCCCACATTTGAAATCCTGAACATATAGGTTTTTCCTGAAAAGCAAAAGAAAGTGAACCATTGTTAATCAAATCCTTGTTCTTCTTTTTCGGTAGGATTAAAATACTTAGAAATTGTTTAAACATTTTCCAATAATAAAATGATGGGGCAGACCTTGATCACCACTAAAGGTAGATTGAGTTTTCCCATTTATAAGGATGCCATTAGGAAAGGGAAGAGATTTCCCTGAATCCAAAAATTATTGCAATGCCTGCAAACATCTATACTTGGAAAAATAATTATAATTTATTGAAAACCATTAGAGCATGACGGGCATGTAAATTTCATGCAAGCACCGTTCTTGTAGTCACATTTCAAAGTAAATTGACTCGCTAGTATTAGAAAAGGAGACAACCTTTGGGATAATATTTTCATTATCTTTAAAAAAAAATTATTGAATTGGTTTTAGAACACAATCATTATCTAAAATAACGTATTCCTAGTTATTTAACAAATGCACACTACCAATGCCATTATTTTCAAAAACTTTCAAATATATACTAAAAACTAAAATACTGAAGTAAACATGAAGAACATGAACTTGTAAACGCAAAATTGTGTCATCTATATACATTAAAATATAGATATCCTCACCTTATGGTTGGTCTTGTACCAATCACCAATAAGTAAAGTAAAATCCGCTGTAGGTGTAGGATATGGTATAGGGATCACAGATCTTGCATATACCTTTAGTCCTCCAAACCCTCCAGCAACTTTATGCATAAAAGTCGATGGAAAGTATGTGTAGGTTCCAAGTTGATCTTTGGTTTGGAACTTTTAAGTGAAGTTTGAGTTTGAAGGGATAAGGCAATTAGTATCCAACACACCATCTTGCCAGGAGTTCTTCCTCTGCTTAATACCATTCTTAAAAGCAAAAATTTATTATTATTAGACCAAGTGTTAATCTAACTGCCACATAAATGAAGAGAAATTGCACAAAAGTAATAGTAAATTAGGCATTAATATTAACAATACTATTTCTCAAAATTTTGGACATTTTACATTTGACATATGTACCCCCGATGCAAGTGAAAAACACGTGCCTTAGGAATAGTTCTCACTTGCACTCCACCAATTGATTTGCAATCGGTTTCTTTATTTCCCATATTTCCAATATTTTCCCAAATTAAAATTAGTTAATCAAGCCATACGATGACCATACCAAAACTTATGCCCTATAAAGGAACAACTACAAAATCTAAAGATGGGCAAATACATTGAAAGATATAATGAAAGAGACTTACCATGTCAAGAGAAAGGGGGTATCCAGCTTATTAATGACATTGATGATGAAGTTGTCATTAGTGAAAACATCAAGTCTAGGACCAGGAAATTGCCCATTGATAAGAATAACCTTAAAAACCAAATACCAAAACTTTAGAAAAATTAAAAAAATGACTTGTTTATTGAGGGACAAAATGGTAATAAAGCGAACAAGTGCTCCTCATTCGGTACACAAATCTTTTCTTTCATTCATTCATATTCATATATATATATATATATATTTGGGTTACAACGGAAATGGAAAGGAAAAACAAGGGCTAAGCCCGTTCCCTAGACAATCTTATCATATCAGAGATAATAAGACTTCTAATTTCCGTTGGTGGCTCATTGACCACCAACATATCTTCGGGTTGTTGAGCTCCAAACTTCACCAAGGCATTAGCACATAGATTTCCTTCCTTCCAGACATGTTGGACAGTGCATTGACATCCTTGGAGCAAGATCTTAGAGTCCTCCACCAGATTCTTAAAAGGGCAGTTGTCCCTTGTTTCTTCATTCATCAGTTGTACCACCTGCATTGCATCTGATTCAATGATAACATTGTTCATGCCTTTTTGTAGGATCACGGTGAGTCCCTTGTATAGAGCCCATAATTCAACTTTAAGGCTAGCTCCAGGTTGCAAACGTCCATAGTATCCACACACCCAAGCACCTTGTTCGTCCCGGATCAGCCCACCAAAGCCTCTATCTCCTCCAGTTTTCCTGCTGCCATCAGTGTTTAGTTTCAGCCTTCCTGCAGGTGGGAAACACCATTTGATTAGTCTAAATGAGGGTCTGGATTGTGGTACATACTGGAGGAAAGCTTGATGGATTTCTCGAGAGTAATCGAAAATAAATTTTGCACTCTCCTGGTTACTAACAGATTTTCCTTGAATACAAATCCATTTCTATTTTTCCAAATTTTCCATAGAGCCACCACAAACACAGTAAACCAAGAGAGTTGTGCATTATAATGAATTTTACTTTTCGCATTCCTCATGAGCCAATCCATCCAAGGTCTCCTTATTATATCTTTGTACCATTGTTTATCAAAAACAGAGAGCCACACTTCCTTTGCTATATAACATTCTCTAAATAAATGATTCATATCCTCAACCCCATTGCATCTAAGACAGTGAGGAGTATCAGTCAATCCTCACTTCAATCTCATTAGATTTGTGAGCAGTTTTCCATGGAGAACAGTCCACAAGAAACCTTTTAGTTTCTGTGGTAATCTCAGTTTCCACACCCAAGACCAGTCCTCTGCCCTGTCCTCATTGTCCTGAAGCATTTCATACACAGAGAAAATAGTGAATTCCCTACCAGGAGATCCTTTCCAAATTGGAGTATCCATCCCATTATTTCCAGGGGGTGGAGTTCCCAGGATAATAGTAGCCAGTGGGTAAGGGAAGTTATCATTAATCAGAATAGCATCCCAATTCCCATTTGCCCCCAGCAACTCTCTCAGAGTGGAAATGTGAATAGCATCAGTAATATTAGATTGCATAGTGCTAAAGACAGTATCCTCAAAGGAACTGTTTCCACATCACCAATCTTTCCAAATATTCACAGACTTGCCATCACTAATGTTCCACTTACACCCTCCCTTAAGAAAGGTCTGGTGCTCATGATGCCTCTCCAAATATATGAAGCATCCCTACCTTTCTGATGGTCAAAGAAGGAAGTATTGTTTAAATGTTTATGTCTCAAAACCACACACCATAGACTGTCTCTGTGGCTAATCAAATTGCAACCCAACTTAGAGATCAAAGCAAGGTTCTGATCCCTAGCTTTTTTAATCCCCAGACCACCAGTTTTTTTCATTTTACACACAACATTCCAATTGACAAGATGAATTTTCTTCTTTTCCGAAGTGTCCCCCCAGAGAAAGTTTCTATTCATACTGTCAATTTCATTACAAACCTTAGATGGTAAGAGCATAGTCTGCATAGCATAGATAGGTATAGCAAAAGCCACAGATTGGATTAGAGTGGCTCTACCAACCATGGATAGAGTATGAGCTTTCCACCCTGTCAACCTCCTTTGCATCTTTTCTAAAATGTGGGTGAAAAAACCCTGTTAACTCTACCATAGATGATAGGGACACCCAAGTATCGCCCCAAATCAGAAGTAAGAGGGATGCCACACTTGATACTCATCTCTTTAGCACTCCTCCTATCAATGTTAGGGGAGACAAAGAGTTTGGACTTATGATGATAGATTTTCAGACCAAAAATATCAAAAAAACTCATCTATGACCTTCATGATAGTACTACAATTGAATGTAGCAGCTTGCCCAAAAAGCATTAAGTCATCAGCAAAGAAAAGATGGGTG